GACCCATACTAAAACTCAACTATTTTTATTTTACCAGAAAAGGGCCCACAAATGATAGCCCAACGAAATGGCTCATCATCATCATCACAGCAGACAAATACGCACGTTTCTACAGACTAATGGCGACTCACAGAGACCCACAGAGACCCACAGAGACACACACTAATAGAGACCCACAGAGACCCACACTAATAGAGACCCACAGAGACCCACACTAATAGAGACCCACAGAGACCCACACTAATAGAGACCCACAGAGACCCATACTCATAGAGACCCACAGAGACCCACAGAGACACACACTAATAGAGACCCACAGAGACCCACAGAGACCCACACTAATAGAGACCCACAGAGACCCACACTAATAGAGACCCACAGAGACCCACACTAATAGAGACCCACAGAGACCCACACTCATAGAGACCCATAGAGACCCACACTCATAGAGACCCATAGAGACCCACACTAATAGAGACCCACAGAGACCCACACTCACAGAGACCCACAGAGACCCACACTCATAGAGACCCACAGAGACCCACACTAATAGAGACCCACAGAGACCCACACTAATAGAGACCCACAGAGACCCACACTCATAGAGACCCATAGAGACCCACACTAATAGAGACCCACAGAGACCCACACTAATAGAGACCCACAGAGACCCACACTCATAGAGACCCATAGAGACCCACACTAATAGAGACCCACAAAGACCCACACTCACAGAGACCCACAGAGACCCACACTCATAGAGACCCACAGAGACCCACACTAATAGAGACCCACAGAGACCCACACTAATAGAGACCCACAGAGACCCATACTCATAGAGACCCATAGAGACCCACACTAATAGAGACCCACAGAGACCCACACTCATAGAGACCCACAGAGACCCACACTAATAGACCCACAGAGACCCACACTAATAGAGACCCACAGAGACCCACACTCATAGAGACCCATAGAGACCCACACTAATAGAGACCCACAGAGACCCACACTCACAGAGACCCACAGAGACCCACACTCATAGAGACCCATAGAGACCCACACTAATAGAGACCCACAGAGACCCATACTCATAGAGACCCACAGAGACCCACAGAGACCCACAGAGACCCACACTCATAGAGACCCACAGAGACCCACACTCATAGAGACCCACAGAGACCCACACTCATAGAGACCCACAGAGACCCATACTAATAGAGACCCACACTAATAGAGACCCACACTAATAGAGACCCACAGAGACCCATACTCATAGAGACCCACAGAGACCCACACTAATAGAGACCCACAGAGACCCATAGAGACCCACACTAATAGAGACCCACACTAATAGAGACCCACAGAGACCCACACTAATAGAGACCCACAGAGACCCACTCATAGAGACCCACAGAGACCCACACTAATAGAGACCCACAGAGACCCATAGAGACCCACACTAATAGAGACCCACACTAATAGAGACCCACAGAGACCCACACTCATAGAGACCCACAGAGACCCATACTCATAGAGACCCATAGAGACCCACACTAATAGAGACCCACAGAGACCCATACTCATAGAGACCCACAGAGACCCATACTCATAGAGACCCATAGAGACCCACACTAATAGAGACCCACAGAGACCCACACTCATAGAGACCCACAGAGACCCATACTCATAGAGACCCACAGAGACCCACACTAATAGAGACCCACAGAGACCCATACTCATAGAGACCCACAGAGACCCATACTCATAGAGACCCATAGAGACCCACACTAATAGAGACCCACAGAGACCCACACTCATAGAGACCCACAGAGACCCATACTCATAGAGACCCACAGAGACCCACACTAATAGAGACCCACACTAATAGAGACCCACACTAATAGAGACCCACAGAGCCCCACACTCATAGAGACCCACAGAGACCCACACTAATATAGACCCACAGAGACCCACAGAGACCCACAGAGACCCACACTAATATAGACCCACAGAGACCCACAGAGACCCACACTAATATAGACCCACAGAGACCCACAGAGCCCCACACTAATAGAGACCCACAGAGACCCACACTAATATAGACCCACAGAGACCCACAGAGACCCACACTAATATAGACCCACAGAGCCCCACACTAATAGAGACCCACAGAGACCCATACTCATGGAGACCTACACTCCCATAGACCCACAGCAACCCACAGAGACCCATATTAAAACTAAACTATTTTTTATTTTACCATGTAATGTCCCACTGAGCTGTCCTGCGTAGCTCTTTTTCAACAAGCGACCCTGACCCATCGCAAATGAAAGCTCAACAGAGTTCCTTGTCATCGTCATCATCACACGTGGAATAGTACAGCAGTAGCCACATACTCTGAACGTGTGATGTTGATTCTAAATGTGGAGGGGAAATGTTGATTCGAAGCTTTCGTGACCGCAGGGATCCATACTCTTTGGTTCTGTCGGTAAAGTCACGTGGGTAGAAAAATAAAATAAATCACGACGTTTCGGGCGCAACACAAGCATCCGTCAACAGGTGGGAAAGCATGGTCTGCTGCTGATGCAGACTGTTTTATTTTATTTTATTTGAAACCTACGTGACTTTACCGAAAGAATAAAGGAGTGTGGAGGGAAAAAGCGGAGAATCCAGAGTACAAATCCACGCGACCACGGGGAGAGAGAGACACAAACTACAAGTACAGGTAGTGCCCGAGTTACGGGGGTCTGACTTACAACATTTTGATCTTACGATGGCGATACGACAAACTTGTAAAATATTTTTTTTCGATTTAAAGCTTTCGTGACTGCAGGGATTCATCTTCTTGGTTATTTCGGTAAAGTCACGTAGAAGGGAAGTAATAGAATAATACAAATAAAACATAATAAAATAATTCTATTTAAAGCTTTCGTGACTGCAGGGATTCATATTCTTGGTTCTTTTGGTAAAGTCACGTAGAAGGGAAATAATAGAATAATACAAATAAAACATAATAAAATAAAAAAAAAAATTTAACTCTCACGACGTTTCGGCCACAACGCAAGAACAGGTCTGTCGAGAAGACAGCGTCTGAATGAAACACCCCAGGCTTGGAGCGTCTATTTAAGCTGGGTTGGAGGGGGAAGAGAGCCTTGACAAAATAATTTGCATATCAAGAGGAATTTAGCATATTTATGGGAAATGCAGACATGGGATTAGTCACTGCTTGTGAAATGCGTAGGAGGTGGGCAGGGGGGTTCAAAGTCATATTATGCCCGTGCATTATGCAGGATTAGCAGCATCAAAGGGAGGGGATAGGGGTAGCATTAATAAAGGGAAGGAATATTAATAGTATGTAGCTGCAGTAACTAAACCACCACGTAAAAAACTAAAGTATAAAATACATAGTATCATCAGTATACTAAATATACTCTCCAATAAGCTGAGCTACTAACAATAAGTAATACATTACAATTCTATGTCGCAATTTTTATAATAATTTTTTTATTATTTTTTTATTTCCCCTCTACGTGACTTTACCAAAAGAACCAAGAAGTTGTAAGATATTTTACATTTCGCGCGGCAGGCAAACGCACAGCATCGTACGAGGTACGATGCTGCGCGTCGGGACGCTGCCGGGATTGTTTCCTGAAAAAGCTTTCCATTAAATTGCAGTTCATATCGGTAGGCTAAGAATTCACCTTGTTTTTTATTTACATTTTACTGTGCAATACAGTATCGTAATTAATAAATACATACGGTATATAGTTTATACAGTACGGTACTGTAAATTGCACTGTTTTGCTAAATTATCACCATTCTTTAAGACTCCTGGGTAGGCGAGGCCATCTTCGCCTTACGATATTTTTGACTTACGATGGGGTCGTCGTAACGCATCTCCGTCGTAAGTAGAGGACTGCCTGTATACAGCAGCAGGCGTCAGGGTCGGGTTGAACCCACGACCTCCTGTAGACAGGCGAGGTAGTGAACATCTCCTAGCCAGCGTGATGATGATGAGAGAGAGACACGCAAACTCCAAATATACAGCAGCAGGCGTCAGGGTCGGGTTGAACCCACGACCTCCTGTAGACCAGGCGAGGTAGTGAACATCTCCTAGCCACCGTGATGATGATGAGAGAGACACGCAAACTCCAAATATACAGCAGCAGGTGTCAGGGTCTGGATCGAACCCACGACCTCCTGCACACCAGGCGAGGTAGTAGACATCTCCTAGCCACCGTGATGATGATGAGAGAGAGACACGCAGACTCCAAATACACAGCAGGCGTTAGGGTCTGGATCAAACCCACGATCTCCTGCACACCAGGCGAGGTAGTCAACATCTCCTAGCCACTGTGGTGTGAGGGTCAGGGATGGAACCCACGACCTCCTGTACGCCAGGCGAGATAGTCAACATCTCCTAGCCACCGTGTGGCACATACAACAGGTGTTGTGGCCAGCACCGCACCCGACCGCCTTTGTCTCCCCGCTAACGATGCTCACGACACACCGTGCCAGGCAAACGTTTGAGTCTGAGTTGACCTAGGGAAAGCCCGGCACCGGTTTTACACATTCGTCACCGGTGTTGGCCATGAGCGTGGGAATTGAAATCGTGTCGCCGGGTCCGTAGCGCTAACCGCTGCGCCGCCGCTCCCCCCGTGAACACACATCGTAGGCAAACACAGCGCTACACAAACACACACAGACAAAGATCCCCCGTGTAGCCTGTGACAGACTGTTGGGGCAAGTGCTGGTAGTAGCGAGTAGCAGCAGCAGCGCCTACGAAGGCTACCGGCACCGTGGCACACGAGGGGGTGGGTGGCCAGCACCACGCCCGGCCGCCTTTGTCTCCCCGGTAGCCATGTTTGTACACCGCACCGGGTACTCATTTGAGGCCGAGTCGACCTAGGGGAGGTCCAAGGACCGGTTCAGATAACCGTTGTCACTGGTGTCGACCGTGAGTGGGAAGTGAACCCGGGTCACGGGTTTGTGTCGATCTAGACGATGACAATGACGTCAGAGTGCATCACGGCTCCAGAGGCTTCCTGATGTCCGAAGGGAGAGCGTTCCAGACGGCTGCCGTGAATTTGTGGCAAGATCTTGGCGTGTAATGAGCGAGTGGTTGTGCGCGTGTGCATGAGTGTGCGTGCCTGTGAGTGTGCGGGCGTGTGTGAGTGTGTGTGCGGGTGCGTGCATGCGCGTGTGTGTGTGCGTGCGTGCGTGCGTGCGTGTGTGTGCGCGTGTGTGTGCGAGTGTGTGTGCGTGTGTGGTGTGTGTGCGTGTGTGTGTGTGTGGTGTGTGTGCGTGTGTGTGCGTGTGCGTGTGTGGTGTGGTGCGTGTGTGTGGTGTGATGTGTGCATGCGTGCGTGTGTGTGTGTGCGTGTGTGTGTGCGTGTGTGTGGTGTGGTTAAACCCAGGATGGATCGTAGGCAGGCCAGCCTAAATGTTTCCAACCGGCGAAAATGCTCCACTAGGGGGGTCCACGTTTCGCAAGCGTAGAGAAGGGAGGGAATGACCGTGGCCGAGAAGACCTGAAGCTTCGTGCGGAGCGACAGACCAGGTAGCTTCCACACAGCGTTACGCAACCGATGAAAAGATATTGCCGCTCGACTGATTCGGAGTGAGACCTCTGCTGATAAACTGGAGCCGGTCATAAGCACACTGCCCAGGTATGGGAAACTCTCCACTCTCTCCACAACTGCCCCATCACCAATTGGGAGTTGTGGGGGTGGAGTGTCCGATGGTACAAAATACCCAGGCAGGTGCTTAGTTTTGGTGGGGCTGATGGTAAGGCCCCACCTCTTAGTGGCACGCTCCAGTCTCAGCAGCAGCGTCTCCAACTACTCTTCTGAATGAGCAGCTATTACCAAATCATCGGCATACATAACGTGGTTGACCAATAGGGAGCCATCCCTTGATCGCACCCGGGCATCGATCAGCCTCCCATTATATCTGTACCAAATGGAAATTCCCCCGGTACAGCTATTTAAGGCTTCACGAACTACGCGGTCAAAATAGATGTTAAATAATGTGGGAGCCAGAGGACATCCCTGTCGTACCCCAAGGTGAATGGCTCCGACTCCCGGCCACGTAGTTTTACCCGGGCCCGCTCACCATCATGAAGGTCCTTAATGATCGTGAGCAGAGGGTCAGGGACTCCGAAAGCACGAAGAACAACCCAGAGCCCAGTCCTACTGATGGTATCATAGGCCTTGACCAGGTCAATAAAGCAGAGATGTAGGTCTTTTTGGAATTCCCTACACCTCTGCTGTAGCAGACGGACAGAAAATATGGCATCTGTGAGTTATGGCATCATCCTGGGTTTAACCAGGCTGGATTGTGTGAGGAGCTCACAAATCCTTGAAAGATCTGGGCAAAGTCCCATCAGTGAGCTCCTCCGGCAGGCAAGGCTGCGTTGGCTGGGTCATGTAGCCCGCATGCCCAGCCACCGCATGCCTAAACAGCTTTTGTTCGGCCGGATCGAGTGGGCTAGACGGGCGCGGCACGGGCTAGAGAAGAGATGGAGTGATGTGGTACAGGAGGACGTGGAGCTGAGTGGACTTGCCGATGACTGGTACCAGCGGTGTCAAGATCGGCCTCAGTGGAGGAGGCTCGTGAAGGACGCTACTGGGCAGTTGGAGGCAGTCGCCCTCCAACAACAACGGAGGGCGGAGGAGCGACGCTCACAACAACGAGCGGAGCGCCGGGTGGCTAAAGCACAGCCAGTTGGTACAGTAGGGGGCACAGGTGGTGCATCAGCCAGTCATCTCGGTCATCTCGGTCAGTCGACCCGTGGCACCTGGGTCTGCCCTGTGACCTCCTGCCAGCGGGCGTTCGACACTTCACATGGCCTCAAGGTGCACTTGGCCTGGCACAAGCATCGTGGTGACGTCACCGCCACTTAGTGGCGAATGGCGGTTGTTGTTGTTGTTGTTGTGGTGTGGTGCGTGTGTGTAGTGTGATGTGTGCATGCGTGTGTGTGCGTGTGCATGCGTGTGTGCGTGTGCGTGTGTGTGCGTGTGCATGCGTGTGCGTGCGTGTGCGTGCGTGCGTGTGGTGTGTGCGTGTGGTGTGGTGTATGTGTGCGTGCGTGCGTGTGGTGTGTGCGTGCGGGTATGCGTGTGACGGCCTCACCTCGGCGTGGGCAGCGGTGTTGTGCATCAGCGTCTCCTTGATGTAATTCCTGACGCCTGCACGAGACACACACACAGACACACAGACACACACAGACACACAGACACACACACAGACACACACAGATACACACAGACACACACAGACACACACACAGACACACACACACGCACGCACACACACACAGACACACACACAGACACACACACACACAGACACAGACACACAGACGCACACAGACGCACACAGACACACACACAGACACACACACACACACAGACACACACACGCACACACACACACACACGCACACACACGCACACAGACACACAGCGGCAATCACCAGGTCCATCCCTGCGTCCATCCCATCCGTGCGTGTGTCACCACATCACGACGGTTCTGTGCCCTAACGAACCGAGGATTTACGAGAGAATTCTCCCCCCTCCGTGTTGCCGCGACGAGGGAACGACGAGCGTGGCCACCAGGCACGGCGAGTCCACACGGCAGCTCCACGCTACACGCTGCGTTGTAACACGCTACACGCTGCGTTGTAACACGCTACACGCTGCGATGTAACACGCTACACGCTGCGTTGTAACACGCTACACGCTGCGATGTAACACGCAACACACTGCATTGTGACATGCAACACGCAACGTTGTAACACGCAACACGCTGCGATGCAACGCCGCTCCCCCGGTAAGGCCGAGCGACGTGACCAGGTCACAACGGATGACGTTCGGGCGACGTTCGGGCGACGTTCGGGCAACTTTCCAGCGACGTTCGGGCGACTTTCCAGCGACGTTCGGGCGACTTTCCGACGATGTTTAGGCGACATTCAGGCGACGTTCGGGCGACGTTCAGGTGACGTTCGGGTGACGTTCGGGTGACATTCGGGCGAGGTTCGGGCGATGTTCGGGCGACGTCCAGGTGACGTTCGGGTGACATTCGGGCGACATTCGGGCGACGTTCAGGTGACGTTCAGGCGACGTTCAGGTAACGTTCGGGTGACGTTCGGGCGAGGTTTGGGTGACATTCGGGCGACGTTCAGGCGACGTTCGGGCGACGTTCGTGCGACGTCCACGTGACGGTTGAGCCCGGTTCACGCAGCCGTCGTGAGGAATCGCGTCACCCTCGTGTGGTTGACGACGCACAGCGGCGGGGGGACGGGAGTCAAGACCTGAACAACCACGCGAGGCCTCCTACTCCTCCCTCCCTCCTCACCCTCCTCACCCTCCTCACCCTCCTCACCCTCCTCACCCTTCTCACCCTGCCCCCCTCCAGTAGGCCGTGAGGGCGACCTCCACCTAACACGGTGCACCTCGTGACCTTTGCGACGAGCGGCGACGACTGTCAACAAACATTGCGGCGTGTGTGCGAGTGTGTGCGAGTGTGTGTCAGTGTGTGCGTGTGTGTGAGTGTGTGTGAGTGTGTGTGTGTGAGTGTGTGTGTGAGGAGCAGTGTGCTTACACACCCGTGTGTGTGAGTGTGTGAGTGTGTCAGTGTGTGCGTGTGTCAGTGTGTGCGTGTGTGAGTGTGTGTGAGTGTGTGAGGAGCAGTGTGCTTACACACCCGTGTGTGCGAGTGTGTGAGTGTGTCAGTGTGTGAGTGTGCGAGTGTGAGTGTGTGAGTGTGCGAGTGTGTGAGGAGCAGTGTGCTTACACACCCGTGTGTGCACACTGTGTGCGTGTGTGTGAGTGTGTGAGTGTGTGAGTGTGCGAGTGTGTGAGGAGCAGTGTGCTTACACACCCGTGTGTGCACACTGTGTGCGTGTACGTGTGTCAATCTCACTCGACCCCCGTGGCACATGCTGGGCCTGTCCCGTAAACTACGACACCTCACGTCAAGGCCTCAAAGTGCACCTAGCCTGGCACAGGCGCCGTGGCGACGTCCCCGTCACTTGGTGGCGAAAGGCGGCGGGTATTGGTGCGTGTGTGTGCGCGTGTGCATGTGTGCATGTGTGTGCGTGTGTGCGTGCGTGTGTGTGTGCGTGCGTGCGTGCGTGCGTGCGTGCGTGTGTACGTGCGTGTGCGTGCGCGTGCGTGTGTGCGTGCGTGTGTGCGTGTGTACCAGTGGGCGAGAGGCAGTCGCTCCAGTCGAAGTAGCCGGCGTACATGCCCGGCTCCAGGGCGCCCACGATGGGGTCGGCCTTCTGCTCCAGCAGCTCCTCAAACAGCTTCTCGTCGAGCTCGCCCACCGCTCGCTGGCCAAACTGCGCGCGGGGAACACACGGCGCAGACGCAGCACAATTAGCATCATCATCAGCAGCAGGAGAATAAGCATCATCATCAGCAGCAGCAGCAGAATTAGCATCATCAGCAGAATTATCATCATCAGCAGAATTAGCATCAGCAGCAGCAGCAGGAGAATTAGCATCATCATCATCAGCAGGAGAATTAACATCATCATCATCAGCAGCAGCAGAATTAGCATCATCAGCAGCAGGAGAATTAGCATCATCATCATCTATGGGTCTCTGTGTGAGTCTACGGGTCTCTGTGTGAGTCTACGGGTCTCTGTGTGAGTCTACGGGTCTCTGTGTGAGTCTATGGGTCTCTGTGTGAGTCTATGGGTCTCTGTGTAAGTCTACGGGTCTCTGTGTGAGTCTCTGTGTGAGTCTACGGGTCTCTGTGTGAGTCTATGGGTCTCTCTGTGTGAGTCTATGGGTCTCTGTGTGAGTCTATGGGTCTCTGTGTGAGTCTATGGGTCTCTGTGTGAGTCTCTATGTGAGTCTATGGGTCTCTGTGTGAGTCTATGGGTCTCTGTGTGAGTCTCTGTGTGAGTCTACGGGTCTCTGTGTGAGTCTACGGGTCTCTGTGTGAGTCTATGGGTCTCTGTGTGAGTCTATGGGTCTCTGTGTGAGTCTGTAGGTCTCTGTGCGAGTCTACGGGTCTCTGTGTGAGTCTGTGGGTCTCTGTGTGAGTCTATGAGTCTATGGGTCTCTGTGTGAGTCTATGGGTCTCTGTGTGAGTCTACGGGTCTCTGTGTGAGTCTATGGGTCTCTGTGTGAGTCTATGGGTCTCTGTGTGAGTCTATGGGTCTCTGTGTGAGTCTACGGGTCTCTGTGTGAGTCTATGGGTCTCTGTGTGAGTCTACGGGTCTCTGTGTGAGTCTATGTGTCTCTGTGTGAGTCTATGGGTCTCTATGTGAGTCTGTGGGTCTCTGTGTGAGTATGTGGGTCTCTGTGTGAGTCTGTGGGTCTCTGTGTGGGCTTGAGACCATCATGAGCTCAAAACGCTTTGAGAACTTGGGTTGAGTTACAACTCACATCCAGACACAAAACGACACACACACACGCCTATACACATCAACACACATACACCTACACACACACAACAACAACAACAACCGCCATTCGCCACTAAGTGGCGGTGACGTCACCACGATGCTTGTGCCAGGCCAAGTGCACCTTGAGGCCACGTGAAGTGTCGAAAGCCCGCTGGCAGGATGTCACGGGGCGGACCCAGCAGGTGCCACGGGTCGACTGACTGAGATGACTGAGATGAGCCCATGCCGCGCCCGTTTAGCCCCCTCCATCCGGCCGAACAAAAGCTGTTTAGGCACGCGGTGGCTGGGCATGAGGGCTACATGACCCAGCCAACGCAGCCTTGCCTGCCGGAGGAGCTCACCGATCTTGCAAGGATTTGTGAGCTCGTCACACCTAACACACACATCTACACACACGTCTACACACACACACCTACACACACGTCTACACACACGTCTACACACACACACCTACACACACGTCTATACACACACACCTACACACACGTCTACACACACCTACACACACACCTACACACACACCTACACACACGTCTACACACACCTACACACACCTACACACACACACCTACACACACACACCTACACACACACCTACAAACACACACCTACACACACGTCTACAAACACACACCTACACGCACGTCTGCACACTCAAGGAAAGCCCCGTGGATGCACGAGGGCTGCTGAGATAGACCTACAGGGCCGCTAAGACACCGCTGCTACTGCTGCTGCTGTTGAGCACCACCCACACAAACCACAGGCGTGGGACAGTGGGGGTGGGATGATGGGTTGGAGGGTGACGGGTTGGAGGGTGACGGGTTGGAGGGTGACGGGGCCTTTCCCTGGCTCAGCGACTGGAGGGGGTTGTCCACCCTTCTCTTCCGAGAAAGGGGACATCCACCCACTCACTCACCCATCACTCACTAACTCACTCACCCATCACTAACTCACCCATCACTCACTGACTCACTCACCCACCCACCCACCAACTCACTCACTCACTCACCCATCACTCACTGAATCACTCACTCATCACTCACCCATCACTCACTGAATCACTCACCCATCACTCACTGAATCACTCACCCATCACTCACTCACTGACTCACTCTCCATCACTCACTCACTCACTCTCCATCACTCACTTCCTCGACCGCTACACCGCCACTCTCCATCACTCACTCACTCATCACTCACTCACTCTCCATCACTCACTCACTCTCTCTCACTCACTCATCACTCACTCGACCGCTACACCACCACTCACTCACTCACTCATCACTCACTCATCACTCACTCACTCATCACTCACTCATCACTCACGCACTCACTCTCTCGACCGCTACACCACCACTCTCCATCACGCACTCACTCACGCACTCGCGCACTCACGTAATTACACCACCACCACCACCACCGCTCATTGCAACAGCGTCACCCCCCCCTCCCCCCCACGGTGGCTGCCAAGCCCAGTCCCGTTCCTTCCTCACTGCCTCTGAGTTTAGTTCCCAGGGGGGTCAAGTCAGGATTCAGTCCCCAGGGGGTCAGGGTTCAGTTCCCAGGGGGGTCAGGGTTCAGTTCCCAGGGGGTCAGGGTTCAGTTCCCAGGGGGGTCAAGTCAGGGTTCAGTTCCCAGGGGGTCAGGGTTCAGTTCCCAGGGGGGTCAGGGTTCAGTTCCCATGGGGGTCAGGGTTCAGTTCCCAGGGGGTCAGGGTTCAGTTCCCAGGGGGGTCAGGGTTCAGTTCCCAGGGGGTCAGGGTTCAGTTCCCAGGGGGGTCAGGGTTCAGTTCCCAGGGGGGTCAGGGTTCAAGTCCCAGGGAGGTCAGGGCAGGGTTCAGTTCCCAGGGGGGTCAGGGTTCAGTTCCCAGGGCGGTCAGGGTTCAGGTCCCAGGAGGGTCAGGGCAGGGTTCAGCTCCCAGGGGGGTCAAGGTTCAGTCCCCAGGGGGTTCAGGGCAGGGTTCAGCTCCCGGGGGGGTCAAGGTTCAGTCCCCAGGGGGTTCAGGGCAGGGTTCAACTCCCGGGGGGGGGGGGTGTAAGGCTCCAACTGAGCTGTGTAGTTCCTTTGTCAGAAGAGATTTGACCATCACAACAAGATAGCCAAATAGAAGTGGCGTATTATCATCATTGCGTGGAAATGTATTGCAAACACTCTAAACGCGTGGTGACGTTGATTCTAAACGTGGAGGGGAAAACCGGAGGCCCCGGAGACAAATCCACGTGACCATCACGGGGAGAGAGAGAGACGCAGAAACTCCAAATATACAGCATCAGGGTCGGGATCGAACCCACGACCTCCTGTAGACCAAGGGAGGGAGTTAACATCTCCCAGCCAACGGATGGAGACACATAGGCTCACATAGAGACCCATAGACTCACACAGAGACCCATAGACTCACACAGAGACCCATAGACTCACACAGAGACCCATAGACTCACACAGAGACACATAGACTCACACAGAGACCCATAGGCTCACACAGAGACCCATAGACTCACACAGAGACCCATAGACTCACACAGAGACCCATAGACTCACACAGAGACACATAGACTCACACAGAGACACATAGACTCACACACAGACCTATAGACTCACACAGAGACCCATAGACTCACACAGAGACCCATAGACTCACACAGAGACCCATAGACTCACACAGAGACCCATAGACTCACACACAGAGACCCATAGACTCACACAGAGACCCATAGACTCACACAGAGACACAGACTCACACAGAGACCCATAGACTCACACAGAGACCCACAAACTTACACAGAGACACATAGACTCACACAGAGACCCATAGACTCACACAGAGACACATAGACACACACAGAGACCCATAGACTCACATAGAGACACATAGACTCACACAGAAACGCATAGACTCACACAGAAACGCATAGACTCACACAGAGACCCATAGACTCACACAGAGACTCATAGACTCACACAGAAACGCATAGACTCACACAGAGACCCATAGACTCACACAGAGACCCATAGACTCACACAGAGACCCATAGACTCACACAGAGACCCATAGACTCACACAGAGACCCATAGACTCACACAGAGACCCATAGACTCACACAGAGACCCATAGACTCACACAGAGACCCATGGACCCACACAGAGACCCATAGACTCACACAGAGACCCATAGACTCACACAGAGACCCATAGACTCACACAGAGACCCATAGACTCACACAGAGACCCATAGACTCACACAGAGACCCATAGACCCACACAGAGACCCATAGACTCACACAGAGACCCATAGACTCACACAGAGACCTATAGACTCACACACAGAGACCCATAGACTCACACAGAGACCCATAGACTCACACAGAGACACATTGACTCACGTAGAGACCCATAGACTCACACAGAGACCTATAGACTCACACACAGAGACCCATAGACTCACACAGAGACCTATAGACTCACACAGAGACCCATAGACTCACACAGAGACCCATAGACTCACATAGAGACACAGACTCACACACAGAGACCCATAGACTCACACAGAGACCCATAGACTCACACAGAGACCCATAGACTCACATAGAGACACATAGACTCACACATAGACCATAGACTCACACAGAGACCCATAGATGTCCACGCTATGATGATGACAAGCCACTTAGTTGAGCTAACATTAGTGATGGACAGGTCGCTTGTCAAAAAATTAGGTACACAACAGCTCAGTGGGGCACTATCCTGGTAAGATAAATAAGTAATATTTAAAAATAAACACGCTTTCATGAAATGTACCGCACTAGTAATGGAAGAACTCCACGACTTCAGGAAGTGGCCCCCAAGCTTGCCACGACGTAAGGGGGCCGTGGACAATTAGAGCCAACGTCAGTTGAGCGTGGACAATTAGACCCAAGCCGAAACATA